TCCCAACTATCTAAGTTTAAAATATTTAAAATTTTATTTTGGTGTTAGCACCTTACAACAGTATTTCAGTCAATATGGGATAAATGTTAAAATGAATCTTGAAGGGCATAAATAGGTGCCACCTTCTCTCTCTGTCTTTGCTCAAGAATGATAGAAGTGGTCAAAAGGAGTAACTGTTCAAAAATTATTTTTGCGTTTCAATTTCTCTCCCATTGTTACATTGAGAAATAAGCTAATTATTCAGTTAACATGGGGTAAAACATTTCCTCTTGTTGTCTGCTGACTGCTGCGGTCGGATTGTGCCTGCCCAGGACAGCAGCCAGGAAGCTTGGCCAAGGCTGCTTGGGAAAGGCATAGGGATGCCCACTTTGCTGTGGCAGCAACTCCAGGATCTGGGGAAAACAAACAGAGAAGCGGCGCCAGGGAGGGGAAGAGAGTTAAAAGCTTGCAGGGAGAAAGATGGCTGGAATCATTTCCTGCAGAGAATGGAGGCAAATGGATCTGAGGCAGACTACAAGAGGGGCAGCTGTAACACTTGGGAAGACGTCCAAGTATACGGGCACAGCAGAGCTCAGTGGACCAGGTTATCCATCTCAGGGCCGGCATAGAGATAAGAAGGCCCTTATAAACACATTTGACGTTTCAGCCAGGATGGAAGCTTGCCAGTCATCCCAGTGCTTTCAGGTCCTGAATCCTCAGCGGGTGGGGTCCTGTTGAGACCTCTTGCCCTGTCAGTATCTTCCATATCACTTGCAGAAGGGTCCTCTTCTGTGGAAGCAGCCCCAGGACAGGCATGAACACTCGCAGCCCCTGCATTTTTAGATAACTTTTCAGGCAACTGAATGAAGTGGATTAGACAGAAGCCACTGCAACACTACCTGTCCTTTGACTTGTATGGGATTAGTATTGCAGCTGCAATTAGAAAACTGAACCCATAGGGCTTTCATATCACAGCATTATATAGCTGTCAACAGGTAAGTATTGAATCTAGATATCTGTCTTATCTGAAATGGACTCACGTATACCACCATGTTTGCTGAATTAAAATAATTTTACACTGATAAGTGGTGGCTGTGAAGATCATTATGCATGGAGTCTTTAAAACAGAGAAATTCCACTTAATTCTGGATCCTTAGTGATAGCAGAAGTCAGTGCTTGTTTTGGGAGTGCTTGTGTAGTTTCCCTGTTGCAGCTGTGGCTGGTAATACAACAGCAATGACAGGGCTTCTGCAAAGTAGGTTTCCTGGTAGCTTTTTTAATCAGTGATTTTAATAGCATTGCATCAATATACCATAATACCAAAATATGTTTCTTTGAGTTTCCAGCTTTCATTTTTTAAAAGTCTATATCCCATTTTGTTGGAGATATTTTTTTTCTGGTTAAATTAGGTAACTTTATTAGATTATGTTTACATTTGATTCAATTACTCACATTTTGACTCATTATGTTAGTTTAACTCATTGTGCTAGTTAGTTGATGGTTGGGAGAAGAAATGGCTACCTTGGGAGAAATGACTGCTATGTGGGCAGGACCAGGAAAATCTGAACTTTCCCACCCACATGGCAGACATCCAGGCTTTGCTGCAATATTTTCCAAAATGTCAGAGCAAAGCAGGTTTCAGAAAGTTTGGGAAAAGGCTGGGGAATATCTGGGAGGTGCAGAAATGGACCATGATGCTGTGGTGAAGCAGGGAAAAAACCCTACTTCCCAACAACATGGAAACACTCTAGGCGGGATCTTAAGAATAAGGATGTGGGAAATGAAGGTTTTGGTCAAGTATGCGACTCATTAAGGTTTCTGATTACTGTTGCACAGCATCATGTAATGCTACTTAGTATGCGACTCATTAAGGTTTCTGATTACTGTTGCACAGCATCATGTAATGCTGCTTAAAAGGATTGAAAGCAAGACACTGGGAAAAATAGGATATCTGATAACTGCTTCAGTCATTACATCTATTTATGTAGACTGTCAGAGCATTTTGTGGATCTAGTGGGCAATACTTGAGTATTTTGTGTGAGAGACAAAACTGATTGAAAATCTTCCATAGGTCAGAAAGAAGAGATTAGGTGAAATAAGACTTCGTTATCATATTAGCAGATGCCAGCAGCACAAATGGATTCTCCTATAAGTTGACAATCCATTAAGAATTGGGATGGATCCACTCATCTTTGCTGTGGTTTTAAGGAGGCAGGGTCCATTATTCCTAAAGAAATTCCTGTCTCCCAGAGCAGGGAAGATGCAGTGCTCGGTTGCTTATTCATTCATTTATTTAAATTATTTATATCCCTCCTTACCTTCTTAATCCAGACGGTTAAAAAAGCAATCAAAAATGCAAAAACAATATAATTCCATCAGCAAGAGAGAAACAACAAACAAGATCTAAACACAGCCAGTTCTGCCCTGCACTGAATGCTCTCTGAAAAAAAACTATTTAACATGTCTTTCTGAATATAGACAAAGAAGGCTCTGGTAAGCCATTCCAAAGGACTGGACCTGTCACAGAAGAAGCTCGCAACCTGACCGTTACCAGACATCTATATATCTAATAGTGAAGGCTATCTAAATATCTAAATCTGCACATTGGGGGCACCTGGGAGGCAGGGAGATTTTCCTGCACATCTGGGGCGATCACCAGATGTGCAGAAAAATCTAAAAACTGTAAAAAACTATAGGGGGGATACTGAAATCCCCCCAAAAGTAAAAGAGTGACCCCTGCACATGCGCAGCGAATGTTTTTGGAATGGCTTCGGCTGTGGCGGCGGCGGGAGGGGAGGGGTGGGGGGAGAAGCAGTTATCAGATATCCTATTCTTCCTAGTGTCTTGCTTTCAATCCCTTTAAGCAGCCTTACATGATGCTGTGCAACAGTAATCAGAAACCTTTTTTTTTAAGCCCCCGGAAGGGGATTTTTTATTATTTTTTATCACTACAAAAACTACAACAGAAGAAAAGGGAGGGGGAACTACATATACGGGATAAAGTAAAGAACCCACTACTAACCAAAAAAGCCAAGAGAGGAGATCCTCCAACTAGCTTAGTTACATCAAGTCTTCTCATCATTAATCCCTTTATAAACTGAGTCAAACATTTATAACACTTTTCCTTTAAAGCTTAAATTTAACTGTCTAGAAACAGTACCCCCGATCATCCCATAACAAAAGTCTCAAAGGCACATTTCTGAGTCCTTCAACCTTTACTTCTCCTTTCCCCTTCTCTTCCGCATCTTGTAAGGACTTTTTGGGGCTGCTGCCCCTTGCTCTGACAGAGAGTCCTCTCCGGAAGAACCAGAGTCTAGCTCGCCACTGGACTTGCTGTCCTCTTCCTTTTTCCCGTCCTCTGGCCTTCCCAGCTGAACCCTTAGGAATTCTTGAGCTTTCAGAACAGAGTCAATCTTTCTTTTTTGTCTTTGATCTTAAAAGTGACACCTTCTGGAAATAGCCATTTATATCCAATTGAGTTTGTCTGAAGAAAAAGCACGAGCTCTTTGTACTTCTTTCTCCGTTGTCTTACTTCAAATGGAATATCCTTTAGCGTTCTGATGGTATTTCCCCCCGCTTTCAGGGATGTTCCAGCAACCGCTTTCAGGATTGCATCCCTCACATGCCTCTTCGAGAATCTTACCACAATTTCCCCAGGCAGATTATTTTTCTTTATGTAGCCTGAATATGATCTATAGACCACATCCATGTCGTTAAGCAGCGATTCCGCCTTCATTTCTGTCACTGGGGCTAGCAGTTCACTCATCACTTCTTTAAGATTCTCCCCTCTGTTCTCTGGCATGCCCTGGAAGCAAAGTATCATGTTGGCCTTTTCCATTTGGACTTGCAACAGTTGATCTTCCATGGAGATTTGTTTTCTTTTCAGTTTTTGCACTTCTTCACCTTCTCTGTAATTACAGCCACTTCCTTTACCTTCTCAGCATCTTGCTTCATTATTTGTATCAAATCGTTTATCTGGGTTTGTTGTGCAGTAATGCTTTGAGTCACTATAGACATCTGTTCCTTGAAGTTATTCAGCTGTTCCAGCAGAGGGCGCATATAATCCGCTATAGACTTTGCCACCTCACTGGTAACTTCCGGTTTTGGGCTCTCAGACCTTTTGCCTTCAAAAGTTTTTCTCTGTCCTTCTTCCCCGCCATTTTTATCGTTTGTTTACTTTCGCAAAATTTTTAAAAATCTCTGAATATGCACTTGACCGCTTAGATTCGCTTTGGTAAGTACTTCTAGGCAGTTTCCCTCGTGTTTTCTTCTGCTCCCCCCCTCAATCGCTCAAAAGTTCGTGCGCATGGGAGGCGCCCTCCCCCACTCGCTTTTTCTCCGTTCGGTGGGGTGGGGAGCTATCTTTTTCCCTTTACAAAATGCTTCGGAGTTGACTCATGTTCATAATTGGTCGGCCGACCTCGCTTTCATTTCTGCCGCACAATCTCCTGCGCTTGCCCCGGTCAGCGTCACTAAGCCCATACGGTCTCACAGCACGGAGAACCATCGGAACGAAGAGGAGCCTCAATTCTCTGGCATTCCGCCGTTGAAGAGGCGACCTCTTAAAAGTTCCATGGCCAGGGTTGCGAGCCTGTGCATCCCCTTCTTCGGCTGGAGCGCAGCTTCACCCCCGGGACGTCCGGGAGGTGAGTCTGCTAGCGCGCCACCATAAACCGGAAGTCCCCAGTAATCAGAAACCTTAATGAGTCGCATACCTGACCAAAACCTTAGGGGCTGTGGTTCTCTGCTTTTTGAGATGTTGTACTCTAGTGCCAGTCCCTTTCCCCCCATTTTAAAGGTGAATCCCAGGTCAGGCATTAAATGCATTTCATGTGTTGTGTAAGGAGACCTTTAAACTGTACACTGCATTTTTTTTTACTCCTAAGCAACCTGCATTGTCCCTTACCCTACTACTAATTCCAAAGTATTTTAGATTTCTGAATAATAAACACGTACTCAATGAATGTGAAGAGAGATATACTTATTAAGTGTAATTATTTCTTTTCCTTGGTTAATTGCAGGTTTTTCAGGACCTCGGTACTTCAGTATTATCTGGTGCTTTTAAAGGATACAACATTTGTCTTTTTGCATATGGACAGACTGGTTCAGGAAAAACATACACCATGATGGGAACTCCAGTAAGCGATATCTTTTAATATCATTTTGTGCTTTTATTATTAATTTGCCTGTAGTTTGGAGTGAACTCTCTTTACCATCTATTACTAGCCAGCATTTTCTAGTGGGGAGGTTTCCTTTTTATAGGATCCAGGAATGTAGGCTGGACATTACTTATCAGCTGATACTGACGTCCCTTCTGCTGAAATTTATGAAAATGCTCATTTCAACAAGTGGACTGATGAAGACAATAAATAATCAGCCTCCCAAACAGGCTGATTTAAATCACTGATATCATTCAAATTTCCAGTTTTCTAATACATGTTTTTGCTGCATATTAATTGGTTGTTATAGCTCTGGAATTTATATTTGCTTAGAGAGTAGCAGTTGTACACAGAGTAGCAGTTGTAAAATCAAGTATTTCTATGTACTTTATCTGTACACACACACAGATACTAAGTAAAAATATGCAATGTGGGTTGAATCCAAGCTCCTGTACAAGGACTGAGTTCACAAAGGAGGATCTTTCTTCCTCACAACCACCCTGCTTGCTTCTCTTGTAAAACCACTGCTGAGAGTCAAAAAGCCCTCTAGAACAACATGCCACAGTGGATTGTAGCAAGATGTGGATTGACCAAAATCAACTATTCCAAAGAGGATAAAATGATATTGTGTAAGCTTTATTGTATTTTGATTTTTTTATATCTTAATCTTCAGTTCTTTCCCGCAGACACAACTCTATCCAAGGAGTAAATTGCATGTGTATAGGTATAGATATTATTGTAGGCAAAACATGTAATTCTGTCTAGTAATCTGTAGTGTTAGCTGTCTGGATTTATTTTGACTACAAATGTCCAGTCCTGAAGGCCATATTGGACTTGTGACTTGTGTTTTGGATAGTGAGGAGTTTGTTCTTATGGAGTTCTTTCAAGCCAACCAGTTTTGTAATCTGACTGGTACTAAACTAAAATCAGAATTTTAGTCACTGTGATTTACCAAAACAAATTGGATTAATTAACATAATCATTGTTAAGCTTTCCATGTTGGCAACACATTACCGGGAGAGCTGTTGCAACTACAGATTTTCAGTAAATACTACAGTGACCTTTAATATGCACAAGTGGACAGGAATCTTATAATGTTTTTCTTTGCATTTCAAGGCATCTGTTGGATTAACTCCACGTATATGTGAGGTACTTATTTTATTAAGCTAAAGATTTTGCATTGTTTAAATTTATCTGATCATTTTGTCCCAAATAATTAAAAAATGTAAATGCTTGGTTTGTATAGGGGCTGTTTTCAAGGGAAGATGACTATTTAAAACAGCCAGCATCTTGTAGAGTGGAAGTCAGGTAGGTGTGTTTCTCTGTCTCATTGTCATGTAGAAGTGATAATGTTGAATTCTGGAAATTGTACATAGGCCCCGGTCACACGGGCAGGAAAATGCGGGGGGGAAGCGTGGCTGTTTGTCCCGGGGCAAAATAACGCGCAGTTGCGCGATCAGACGTCCCGTCGAGGTCTCATGTTTAGGGGGGAGGTGCCGCTCACACGACCATCCTGCCAGCAATCACTAGGCGCCACTTCCGTGGCAAACGGGATGGATTTTTTAAAAAAACTGAAGTTTGTGCTTACGCATGACTGAGCAATCGTATCTGCACATCTGAAGGCAGGTGGTGGGCTTACCAGAGAGGGTGACAGACGCTTCCGGATCCCAACAGAGCTCCGAGGCATAGCCAATGGAGGGGGAGGTGGGCCCCCTCGTCACAGCCGCTCTAACCACCTGCGTGAAAGTGGCCATAACGACCCTCCAGAGGCGGCAAGCCTGGCTGCAGTGGGAGGGGCCTCTTTGTGCGCATGCGCTGTTGGGCGCTTGTGCGCATCCTGTGGAGACTTGAACAAAAAAAACCTGTTCTCAACGGGACATGGGCAGGCGCCGGATGCCACAGGATTCCACCGGAAACGCGATCAGGCGCCTGCCCTTGCCCCGCGGTTTCCAGAAACTAGTACCTCGGAGGTACTAGTTTTTACCCCGCATCTTCGTCGGGAAGCCTCGGGTTCGGCACGGAGCTCTATGTTTCCCGGATGTGGTGGTGTGATCGTGCCCGGAAAATCCGCCTATCTTCCGTCTCTGTAGGGTGGCTAATGTTCCGTGTGACCGCAGCCATACATGCTTATCCGTCTTGCGATACGATACCTACATGTATTTCATGGAGAGCTGCCAAAAAGAGTTCTTTAGCTTGTAATTTTAAATCAAGGGTATTGTGAGTACATGCTCCATTTTTCCACCTGTATAGTATACTTTCTTCAGACTAGTTGCTCAAAAGGACAGCTGCTGTGTTTGCTGCGATCTTTGATTTCTGAAATTCATGTGGAATGTGTATAATTTGCAGAACAATACTCCTATTCATGGGCCTCCTGTCCAGCAGTTTCCACATTAGGAAATCTTACTTACGTCCTAATACCAGGGTATTCTAATGTGTCATGTAATGCAAAGTGTGAGTTTAGATTTGGAGAGAAAAAATTCGAACATGGTACAACTATTTTTAGGAAAAGTACGTTGCTCTTGATGAATAGCCTATCAATTTAGAACAGATGGGGAAAAGAAAAACATGTTTTATCTGAGCATTCTTTATTGATATCCCTAGCTGATAAACCATTTCCAAATGTAGATGCAGAAGGGGAATTCTGCCAATTACAATGCATAAATCTTTGCAAATTCTGTCTTTTCCTAACTAACCTTAATTTATGTTTTAAAGTGAATGTGCTTACATTGGAGTGACTCTACATAGGACTATGCTGTTAATTAGACATGTTTTTAGTACAAATATTATGTCGAGTTTGTGCTTTCTGATCTACTTGGATCTTCTAAAATTTGGACCATGTTCAGCTGTCATTGAACATTTCAACATTACACAATGCTATAGAACTTATATTGTGCTATAACATCATCACATAGTGATGAGTAGAGTTTTTAGCACACAGAAATAATTTAATAAGCTAAGAAATAGCTTTAGTGATTTGGTTTGTTAATGATGCTCTAGTCACGCAATATAACCCTTGGTTTTGTCTGGGGGTGGTAGCCTGCCCCCATAACTCAGCTGCTCCAGAGGGGACTGCAGCAGCAGACAGTCTTGCCCAGGCACTGCTGAGTCAGGCAGCCTGAACAGGATCTGTGGAGAAAGAAGCAACTGTGAGGCCATGCCCGGGAATGCGCCAGCAGTGGTCTCAAAGCCTGTCAGGCCTGGCTCACACCTCAGAATAGAGGCAGGGCTCAGGTAGCACACTGCACCTGGCAACAGGCCAGAGGAGAAGGCCAGCTTTGGGGAGGGGTTGTTGCTCAGTGGAAGAGACTGTGCTTTGATTGCAGAAGGCCCCTGGTTCAATCCCAAACATCTCTAAGTTTAAAGGACCAGGCAGTAGATGACAGGGTGGCCAGGTCTTACCTTTCCTGCAGCAGGGGGCTCCTGGCTTCTCCTCGGGATGTTCCTTTTGTGTATGCTTTGCATGCGTGACTTAATGACATCACCAGAAGTGACATCATCTTGCCAGGGCTGTCGCACAGCGACGCTCTAGCATTTGGGGCAAAAACTCTATGGTAACCATGAAGTTCCTCCCCCGAATGCTAGAGTGTCGTCATGCAATGCCCCCAGTGTGATGACGTCGCTACTGGTGATGTTATCGCAGCAGCGTCCCCGCGGGCTACTGCTGTTCAGTGGTGGGGCTTCCCCTGATGGCCAGCTGGCTGGCAGTGGACTGGGGCCCCAAAATTGGGGGATCCCCTTCCCCGACCAGGGAGATGGCAACCCTAGTAGGTGATGTGAAAGACCTCTGCCTGAGACCCTGGAGAGCTGCTTCCAGTCTGAGTTGACAGTACTGACCCTGATGGACCAATGGTCTGATTCAGTATAAGGCAGCTTCATGTGTGCTCATTGAACCAAGAGGTATGGCTTGGTCCTCCTGGGTCCTTTGCATGCCAACCTAGCAGCATCTTAAAACCTTATGGGAGGGTGGGGTAGGAGATGGGAAGGCCCAGGCAGGGACATCATTGGCCCAGATTCCTTTCACTCACTGTGGGCCCACCCCTGCAGGGGAGGGTATTGGGGGAGTCTAGGGTCAGTCTGCCCCAGACAATCCTTTATTAGTCCATACCAGGGATCGTTGAGGAAAAAGGGTCAAGTCATGCCTTCCCAGACAAAAGATTGGCACAAGGCCAGAGAGAAAGGGCTCAGGGTGCAGCTGAACCCATCTCTTCTCCCTAAACTGATTCCCAACTCTGGACTTCAGCCCTCAGGAGTTGGAGCCTGTCAGGTTTCTTTGCAGTAAGCTTATGTGCAGGAAATGTAGTATTAACACTCAGAGGGAGATTACTTAATAACTTCCTATTTTCTTGCTACTATGTTTGAACAAATATTGCACAAGACTTAAGCTTACACTGCAAATACACATTTTCATGCCATTAACCAGTGCTAAATATATGTATGAGTGGTAGTTGCCAAAAAAAGGGTCAGCTTTAGTGAATTCCTTTGCGAAAATGGGGCGTAATGTGTTCATAAGGCCCATGCACATAAATCCAGTGCGTATAGGCCCAAATAATGTCTTCAGTTTCTTGATTACAAATGGACTATCAATAGGCTTCCCAGTTGCCCAGACCTGAGAGGGAATTCCCCTGCCTCAGTCTCCTGCCCTAGAGAAACTGAGGAGTGGGAGAAAACGTGGCCTCCATAGAGGCACTCTAGAAATTTCCCCTAGTTTCTGTGAGTGTTACCATAGAGATTAGGAGAAATTCCTAGAATGTCTCCTTAGAAGTGACATCTGCTCTCCCCAGGCACTGCCCCCCAAATCTCTGAGCATTTTTCTAGGTGATGTTGGGAACCCTAGATATCAGTCATATAGCTTTGATTTTCACATGTTGGATTTTATGTAAGCCCTAAGTAACTGCTGTGACCATGTGTAGATGTTTGGCAGTCCTGGATAAGTGTGCTCATAGGGCATAGTGCAAAAGCACAATCTTGCCTCCCCACTGCACATAGGCTCTGTTTGAAAGATTTATGTTGAATTGGCCCCAATCCTTATATCATTAATTATTTTTCTCCCCTCCCCCAGTTTTCTAGAAATCTATAATGAGCGAGTCCGAGATTTGTTGAGACAACCAGCACATAAAAAACCATACACACTTCGTGTTCGTGAGCATCCTGAGACAGGTCCATATGTACAAGGTTAGTAATCTTTAAGAAGACTGCAGGACAATATTGTGTGTATATTTAGGACTTCTTTCTTTGTTGCACATTTCTTTGCTTCTCTTTGGTTGTTTTACCATTCATTAAAAAAATTTCTAGGGAAAGCTGGGAGCTCAAATTCTATGTGTTACATATAGATTTCTAATAGTAATTAGTTCTGGTAGGTATTTTCAGAGTCCTGATGTTCTAGAAAAGTAAATAAATGAACATGGTTGCAGGTAAGGTTCCAAAGATGTATTTAATGCCTGTGGTAAACTGGAATAATATTGTTTTATTCAGATCACCAAACATATTCAGGATTTCTAGGGGAGAAACTAAGTGCAATCCTGTACAGCAGAGGTGTCAAACATGCGGTCTCGGATGCCCCAATCTGGCCCGCATGGACTTGGCTGTTTCCTGCTTCCTTTTCCAGTTCTGCTGGTGCTGCCACGTCACAGCTTGCTTTACTAGTCTCTCTCAAATGCACAGGAGAGATAGATAGGAGGGCCTCTCCTGTGTGATTGAGAGAGTTTGGTAAAGAACTGGCTGAGGCTCCTCCCCCTCTTTCTTTCAGGGGGAGGGAAGGAACAGCCAGAGCTTGCTTCCTAGCCAGGCTGCAGGAGACAAAGGGAAGTCTTTCTTTGCTTCTACTGGCTGAGGCTCCTCCCTGAGTGGAGGGAGGGAACGAGGGAGAGCTTGCTTTGCTGGGCTGCTTCAATCACATGGGAGAAATACCAAGCACCTTTAAGACCAACAAAGTTTTGTTCAAGGTATGAGCTTTTGTGTGCCTTGCTACAGTGTGTGTGTGTGTGTGTGTGTGTGTGTTTTGTTGGACTCTTTATGCCAGGGCTCTCCTGGGTGCAACTGGGTTCCTTCCCCCTTTTCACTGTATTCATGCCCTCATGATCCAGTCTTTCTCAGTAAGAAAGCAATGTGAACTATTTTAGAGGAGGAATAACAACAAGTCAGTGAGCTGGATTAGGCTGAGAGTGTGTGTCCAAACCAAGTTCACCCAGCACATTTCCTTTGTAGGAAGTTGTAGTTATTTCTCTGGGGAAGAGTATAGCTTTGTAGACAAACACATGGCCCTCAGACTGTGTCAGGATGCCTTCTCACGTTCTTGACCAGCACATGAAGCAACTTATGTACAAAAGGTTGCAATGAGCAGCCATTTCATATTTTCCCCTGGGTCCTAGGCTCAGAACACTGAGCATAAGATTTCTATAATGAATGTCAATAAATCAAAAGTAGGTTTGCAGTTTACAGATACACACCTGAACAGCATTCTCAAGATTGCTGCAGCAGACATTTATGATGTAATAATTCAGAGCAAGAGGTGTCAGTTATCAGAGACTGTTAAATAGACAAAGTATTGCAAGAGTGCTAGTGTTTTAAGCATGTTTTATTTAAAGTTTAAAACATCTTTAATTGTGTTTACCTGTGTCCTTTATAAAGTTTATGACTGATTCCACAAAAGCAGTCGTTGCGCCCTCGGTCTCCTGTTTCCTCCGCTTGTACTGCTCAATTTCCCACTATTTGCTGCACGGCCGCATTATGACCCGCATCTCCCTCCAATTTTCCCCACATCTTCATGATCCAGACACAGGGGAAATTGGGTGTGTGTGTGTGCAGATAAAATGTGGTCGTCCAGCAAATAGTGGGAAATTGAGCCGTATAAGCGGAGGAAACAGGAAACTTAGGGCGCAACAACTGCTTTTGCAGAATTGGTTTATATTTCTGCTATCTGGCACGATCTGGAACAAGGAGGGGGCTCCATTCCAATGCCGAAAGGGACGGCATTACATTTTATGACACCCATGGCTCGACCCAACAAGGTCTCATTTACATCAGATCTGGCCCTCATAACAAATGAGTTCGACACTCCTGTTTTAAATAGTGTCCAACCTTCCTGAAGGGATTTGACCCTCCTTACTTTTCTTTTTAGTTTCTTTTTCACAAGCCCCCTCATTTGAGAGAAGTTACCCCTTCTAAAGTTAAATGTGGTTGTGTTGTTCTTTTTGGGCAGTTCCCTATTTACATTATAGTCACTGCTCCCAACTGGTGCTATCACATTTATATCTCTCACCAGATCTTAGGCATTACTTAGGACCAAGTCCAGGATCACCTCCCCCCTGGTAGGTTCTATAACCATTTGCTCCATGGCATAGTCACTGACAGTACCTAGAAATCCAATCTCTTTCTCCTGACCGGAACACGTATTGACCCAGTCAATGTGTGGGTAGTTAAAACCACCTATTATGACACAATTATTTCGTCAAGCTGGTTTCCTTAATTCTTTTGTTCTTTTAAAATCATACTATAAGCTTCCTTTTGAGCACACTATTTTCACCCATAGCATTTCTGTAAGTGAGTGTATTTATCCTACATTCTCAATCTTACTGGACTATATACCCTCTGACCTATAGAGCCACTCCACCTCTGTCCCTTCCCTCCCTATCCTGCTGATAGAGTTTATATCCAGGAATCACTGTATCCCACTGATTATCCTCATCCCACCAAGTTTCTGAAATGCCCACAGTATCTATGTTCTCCTCTGAAACGAAGCATTCCATCCCCCCCATTTTACCTTGGATACTTCTACCATTTGTATATAAATATCTATAATTTGCCAGACACATTAGGCCTGCAACCTTCCTCCTGTTGCCTCTAGACCTTGCCAGGCAGTCCATATTGTTTGTCACACTTTCAGTGGCCAGTCCTAATCCCTGCAGAACAGTAACAGTTACCCCTTTACCTCTAAGAGATGATCCATCCTGAACCAGAGATGTTTCATCTCCTGTTGGCTTTCCCCCAAGATTTCATTTATACTTTCATTTATAATGAAATAATCTCTGCCACATTTTTAATTAAATCGCCAGCAGTCTGGTTCCTTCTCAGGACAAGTGAAATCCCTCTTTTTTTGTACAGGTCCTGCTTGTTCCAAAAAGCATCCCAGCACCTAACAAACTTAAACCCTTTCTCCCTACACCATCGTCCCATCCACATATTGAGTCCCCTAATTTTTGCTTTAGCTGGGTCTGTGCGTGGAACTTGCAGCACTTCTGAGAAGGCTACCTTGGAGGTCCTGGCCTTGAGTCTCCTGTCTAGTAGCCTAAATTTTTCCTCCAGGACCACACGACTACATTTCCCCACATGGTTGGTTCCAACTTGTACCACAACCGCTGGCTCCTCCCCAGCACTGTCTACCAGCCTATCTAGACCATGCGTAATGTCTGCTACCTTTGCACCAGGCAGGCAAGTCACCATGTGATCAGTACATAGGTTTGCAACCCATCTATCTACATGCCTAAGGATTGAATCATCAACTACCAAAAGACCCCCTCCCTCCCTGCCCAGGGATGGTTTGTTGGTGCAAAAAGATACCTGTTCACCAACTGAAGAAGGGGTCCCTTCTGAAGGAACAGTCCCCTTTTCATCAGCATGGTGCCCTGTTTCCCCTTGACCCTCATGCTCCTGGACAGTGGCAGAGCTGTAATTCTCAGAGTGTGACACATCTAACAAGTCCCCGAGAGTCTTATCTGTGTGCCTAAATGACTGTCTCTGTTTCTCCAGGTCAGCCACTTTGGCCTCAAGGGTGGGAACTCATTCCCTGAGAACCAGGAGCTCCTTGCACTGAGCACACACCCATACAGGGCTTTTTTTGTAGAAAAAGCCCAGCAGGAACTCATTAGTATAATAGGCCCCACCCAACAGCAGAAACTCATTAGCATATTAGGCCACACACCCATGTTACCAGAAGTGTGGTCATCAAGCCACACCCACCTTTTGCTTCTTATTCTGTTTACCTTGTTTGTTGTCAAAACCCAGGGTTTTTTTGTAGCAGGAACTCCTTTGCATGTTAGGCCACACACCCCTAATGTAGCCAATCCTAATGAGTTTCTGATGTTGGGTGTGGCCTATTATGCTAATGAGTCCCTGATGGGCGTGGCCAACTTGGAAGCCAGCCGGAACTCCGTTCTTGTGTGTTCCTGCCCAAAAATAGCCCTGCACCCATGACTTCTGTCCAGCTGGCAGATAGTCATACATGTTACACTCCGTGCAATACACTGGTTTACCCTCCAACCCCCTGGTGGCATTCTACCTTCATAATTGCGTTTTTATTATTTGTTTTTTATCCCCCTTTTTATAGAACTTCCTATTTATATAGATTTGTTTGTAGAACATGTGCTTACCCTTTTAGGGATATGGAGAGACTAGTGCCCTGACTTCTTCATCCTGCTACTAAACTCTCACGTCTGCTAAACCCGCCTGTTTATTCCTTTTAAATAAAGAGTAAGCAAACAGACTGTGGAAGTGTATTCCTTGATGGTATTCCTTCCTGTAATATGTAAATCAATCCATAAATTATAATTTGGTCATCAGAAAACCACTAGAAATATTTATTGTGGCATTCCAAGCTTTTCCTTCAAGAGGGACATTAAATCCTTGTTTTGAATTTATACTCAGTTCACAAGTAGATAATGGATGAATTGTCTGTTGAAGAAGTAAAATTTTTCTACATCTTCAGACATTTTTCTCTTAAACAATTTGTGAGGTTAACGGGATTAATTTATAAAAACCACTATTGTGTCCCTTGCAGGCTGTATTTTATTTTTCAGTGGAAGTGTGCGTGTATGATTGCTTTTTCACTGGCAAATGAGATAACTAATATCTGTCCTCAAGAGATTGTAATGGTTTTTCCTGACTGCATTTATCATCAGAGTGGGTGGTCTGTTATTCTCCCACTTTCTAATAAGAATCAGAGTAATGGCATAACAAGAATACTGGCATTTGTCCAACTTGTAGAAATCCTGCATGGGGCACTCCATATAAGGCTTTTGCTGCTTATTATCTGGGACTTATGATAGGGCCGTAAATTCCAGCACTTTTCTGAAGGACTACTTTTCCTAACAATACAGCATTGCAGTTCAAATTTTAGAAAGACTTGGCAGGATGCCTAAAAAAGTGAAATGAAGTCTTTGTTTTACAGTGTCTTGTGA